ACTTTAAAAGAGCAACACAATTAGCTTAATATTACAGCAAAAAGCTTGTCGTTAACGCATACAAAAAGAAACTAAAGTATGCGGCCCAAATGTGTGACATTTAACAGAGCTGCGTGGAAAAAAATGTAGCAAACGGACACATTAAGGCTTGTCTGAGCTCTTCCGCACATGTTAAACCCATGTTTTGCTTTTTAAAAATACAACAGAGACCATGAATAAGCTCTAATGCAAACTATTGCCTTAAATGGTTTAGTGTCTGTTTTTATGCCAATTTACTCACAGACAGGGACTGTCACAACATAACATGGCTCCATGATGTTTAGTTTGCAAAAACAAGCTCCTATTGACAACAACTTGGGTAAAAAGAAAATGTATCTGCCAAAGTCTGCTATGTGTAGGCAGAAATTAAAAACTTTGTCTATACATAATCTTTTGTTAAACTGACCTATTGCTTAGGCCTGTCATGATATCTAATTTGTTTTGCAATATATTTCACCAAAAGTTATTGTGACAAACAATATTATTGTCATTTTAAGACAATTTATGACACTTATGATAATTAACTAATGATTTGATAATTTTTTTTGTTGAAAATATGACAATATAATAGCATAATAATGCAAGTGCACTCTTTTAAAGAACTATCTTATTCACAAAAATATTTAGACGTTGGAATCTGAATGTAAAAATAATAATAATAATAATAATAATAATAATAATAATAATAATGATAATAATAATAATAATAATAATAACAAAGAAAATGTTAACAAAGTGCAAGAACAAAATAAAGTAACATGTTTAACATGTTTTAGTAGTTTTAGATTTTTAAACTCTCACAAAGAGGCACTGCTACCAGATTTATTTTTTTATTGTTAGGCACCCACATGAAAAAATAGATAATATTTTATAGTAAATAATGTAGTGTTAACCACACTCAAAAAATATTGTTGCTGCTTGTTTAAACTACATTTTTAAATTAGTTAGTGATGGGACAACATAAAAGAATTGTGTAACTACCTGGTCAGTGGATTTGTACAGTAGCATGCTTTGGACTGAATTAGGAGAGGAAAATGTTGACAATTAACATAATCTTAGGTGTTCTAAGTTAAGGAAAATACTTGTTTAAGTTCAATCCTTACTTAGTTTGAAGATTTAGAGAAGTGTAATGTTTTGAGCTTTGATGTTCTTTGAGTTTTGATGCAGCTTTGTAACAAAAATACTGTTTGTTGCTTCACTCAGTGAACAATTATTTTCCTAAAATGGGTTTTGAGCTCAGTCTCAACCAACTATTCAATATGAATTTTGCTCATGAACTTTATTTGGCATAAAATACTGTATGCTCTAATGACTTAATTCAAATTAAAGTTAAAATAGCGCAATCCAAACAAGTTGAAGTAACACAATTCAAATAAGCTTAAAGAACCCAAATAAAATTTGTGGAAATGTGTGTCATAATTATGTTAAATTGCACCAATTATTTATTTTTGAGTGCATGTTATTGTAAACTGTTTTATAATGTATATGTAATATAATGCTTACAACTCAACTCAACGAGTTCTACAGCATACTGTAGTTTTAACTGTAAAAATACTGTAGGACACTTATAGTTTTTTTCTACAGTAAACTGCGGTGTGGTCTAATATAGTTATAGAAAACTTAGTTCAGTATTGGGTAACAAGGTGATATTATATTTATATTACTACAGTGACTGTAGAACTACCATGACAGATTCGATTATTTTACTTGCGTATGGTTGAAAAAACACAAATATTAACAGAATTAACTATAAACTATTGTATTTTTTCATGTGGACAGATTTTGAGAAAGGAACTCCAACATGTTTATCTTGTGTGGTATGAGCTTTTAGTGTGTTAAATGGCTGCATATCTTAGGTTTAATGACGGTGCTACACTGGGGTTAGCGGTCCTTGTAGAATGACTGGATGTCTGATCTCTACCAGCCTGCCCAGTCAAGTTTGTTTGTTTATTTGTTTAGCTAGTGTTTTCCCCCTTAGGGTAGTTTATTTTGCTGTTTATTTGATTTTTACCATTAATAAATACCTTTTGCTTTGCAATTGATTCCTCCCTCCTTTTTCCCCTCACCGTACCATAACACAGAAGTCCTTAAAGGCCATGCATTAAATCATTTTCTCTCTTTTTCGTTTTCTAATTAAGTTGTTTTAACGTGATCACAACCTAATTTTCTTGTGATCTCGACTAAGCATGGAACGATAACTGTTTTTAAGGTAGACCGCAGTTATACCGCATAATATTTTTATCCAAGGTTATCAGAGCGGCAGGATCTTATACCGGCCCATACCTAATCTCGACATAACTTGTTTACTTGTGATTCCATTTTTATTTTCTCATGATCTCAACATAACAAAAATTTGTTTTCTTGTCGTTCCGACTTGATTTTATCGTGATCTCGACATAACAAAAAGTTGTATTTTATTAATACGTTTACTATTTATCTCCATAGGTGTGGTTAGTTTTATGTTGAACAGAGCACTCGGGTACAAAACAGGTAAAAGCAACGTCAATTCAATTTTCTCTTGTCTTCTCAAATGGACTAGTCATTACAAAGCTGCAATGAAACATATTTGGAGCCACGTATTTTTTACATTTTGCTAAAATACTGTCAGAGCCATGTACAGTATTTCCAATGAGCCTGGGTTGATCACTTTTGTCTCTCTTCTGTCTCGCACCTGGACTGGTCAGTCTACTTTTAAACCCATGGTAGCCCCATTAGTGAGCAATGCATTCTGGCTCTCACTTCCAATTTCTCTGGAAAAAGTCAGCCTGAATCTAATTCTGAATTAGTTTTTCCAGGAGCTCTAGGGACAGAGATGGATGTGTGGAAAACTGTGGCTTGCTCACTATAGGTAGAATAACTTTTAAATTTTATTATTGAAGAAATGCATTTGTGTTTATGTGTGTTTATTCCCAGACTGGGCCCATTTTGATTTGAGTCTTTAAAACTTCCACTTTTACTCAACCCACGGGTGCTGTAGCCTATATGAGGATGTTAAAAACATTAACGGTTCGTGGTTGTGTGTGTGTGACGATGGCCATGTGTGTTTGCGTATGAAAGGCAAAAGTGGTTCGAAGGTCTGTCCTGCAGACAATAAAATGCAACTAACCATTTAGTTGCATACAGTTAAGATAAAATGGAGAAAACACTTGCTTTATACTTACTTGTTGATGTCAAAGGCTGTATAAAAACCCACTTAAACAATATTCAGAAGCTAATTCAATTGTCACTTGATAAAAGCGAGTTAAATTAGATTGATCTGAAGCAATAAACAAAATTGCTAACAGTGACAAACAGAACCAAATGTAGATTATATGTGTGATCATTCGCAACATAGATAAACATGGTTTATGCCTAATGAGAACATGAAGCTGCTGAAAATAAAGTTGCTATCTTTAGTTTAATGACTCTGCTGTATTATAAGTCTTATTAAAATCTTCTGTTCTCCTTTAGTCTTTCACTCTGCAGATTCAATATCAATGTTTTACTAGAAAGTGTCCTAAAAAAGTCTGTAACCCATAGCAACGACACTATGATCAACAGAAAGACTTACTAAGGAGCCCACTGAAACCACACGGATCAAACCCACATGATGTCACATCTGTGTGATGCGTCAAATCAGCCACGGCAAACTGCACATATGAATAAGGCATCAGTTAGATCAATCTGTTGTTGTTTGGGAGCTGGGTTTGAAACAAACTGATAAAAAATTTACTGATTATTAAAATGTAGCTAAAGGCACCTATTTTCCAGAGGTTCAAGTATTTTTACTTCACGACTAAGTATCTGCACATTATCAATTATTATTTTTATGTCTGAAAATATTTGTGTATATATATATATATATATATATATATATATATATATATATATATATATATATATATATATATATGTGTGTGTGTGTGTGTGTGTGTGTGTGTGTGTGTGTGTGTGTGTGTGTGTATTTATATCTATTCTATATTCTATACTTCTCTATATTCTATTGTATCTTTACACTCACTGGCCACTTTATTAGGTACCCCGTACTAGTACAGGGTCGGAGCCCATTTTGCTTTCAGACTCCCTAAATCGTTTGTGGCATACATTCAAAAAGATTGAAAATATTCCAAAGAGATTTTGGTCCATGTTGACATGATAGCATTACACAGATCCTGCAGATTTTTCAGTTGCACATCCATTATGCCAATTATGCACTTTTGAATAATCATGCATATATCAATATATGACAAGTTTGTTCATAAAATTAGACACTGTCTAACAAAATAAATATTCATCAAAGTGCCTTTACTTTAAATATTTTAGAACATACATTAAAAATCAGGTACTTTGACTCTTGATTTTTATTTTATACTTTATATTGTTTTTACTTTAAATTACTTTATACTTTTACTAGATTAGTGTACTTTGGCTGTGGCTAGTGAAACTGACCTCGGGTGTGATAAACCAGCTATGTTTTAATGGAGGGCAAACACTTTTTCACACATGGCTTTGTAGTTTGTCTATTTCGTTTTTCCCCAATTAGAGAAACCTTCATTTCTAAACAGCACAATGTGTTTGGTTGTGTTATTTTTGACTAATATTTATTTATTTAAATGATCTGAAATATAAATGTGTAAGAAACGTAAGGGGGCAAACACTTTTACACAACACTGTATGTACACTTTTATTCAAATGCTTGATTTGGCCTTCATCCAACACTTTATGGTCTTTATAGCAGAATAAGGCTTGGTTAGGATTAACAGCTGTCAATAAGCAGGACAGCTGGGTCAGTTCCACAAATGGAGTGCAGTTTTTCCTCTTTTTCTCCTCAGAGGGCATTCGGGTGCCAACTATTTCTTAGCTTTTGGCATTTCCTCAACTGCATTACTCAAAATATACACTAGCTGTTATTGTTCCAACCAGTACAGTATATACTCCACCTCTAGATGATCATACTTTTATGTAATGTGTGTTAGGCTTACCATCGCTGTAGCCGCGGGCGAGCAGGCCGTCGGGCGAGGGGGTTTGATGGGAGCGTGAGCCGATGGAGTCCAGGCTGTCGAAGGAGTCGTCTCGCGCGTGCCTCGGCGGAGAGAGAGAATCGCTGCGCTCAGACTCCCAGCAGTCTATATAACCACTGTCCCTGATGCTACGCTTCGGGCTGTCCCACTCTTCTGCTTCCTGACAAAAACAAGCACATATAAACAATATAAAAAGTGTCCCATATTTGATTTTTATTTGCTATTCTCACTTTTTTTCCATGCACCAACTCTCACAGAATTGAAAGTCATTCATTGACCAAAAAATATATAAATATATACAATATATATAAGGTTGAAGTTGAATATACTCACAGTATTATTTAGTTAAGGAATAATCTATTGATTATCATGCATTAAAGGATTTCAAATGTGGCATTAAGCCTTTTGTTATTCCCTTATTCCATGGTCATTGGCCAATTATAGACCAGTTAATGCTCTTTATAGTGCACCATTTGACCACAATTATATTATTTACTACACATTAGATCTCCCCACTTTGAACCAGTTCACCACCGCCATGGACAGCAACATTCCAGAGGCATTCAAAGTTCAGAAAATAAAGCAAAAACACAGTCAACATCCCTGTGACTTTAGTGGTTCAACTGTAGTCATCCATGGACACTTTTGTGTGGCAAATACATTGTAAATATGACTTTGTTTGCCTATATCTTTCTCCCATGTCAGGGTGTGCATTTACTATGGGCAGTGCAATGTATTTACCATTAGTTTCAGCAGAACAACACACAAGCATAGTATTGTCAGTATTAAATACCCGATATGACATGAGAGACACAGGCAAACAAAGTAATTTTTATAGTTTTTTGGTGCACAAAACCGTTCACAGAACTTCGTATGATTACAGATGAACCACTGAAATCACATGGAATGTTTTGGTATTGTTTGAGGTTGTCTTTGAGCTTCTTGTCTATGGAGGACGAAGGAGCTCTCGAATTTCATTTAAAATATGTCAATTTGTGTTCTAAAGATGAGTAAATGTCTCAGGGGATTGAAACAACATGCATGTGAGTAATTAACAACAAAACGTTCATTTTTAGGTGAACTAAAGTAAAAATAAAAGCTGAAATTGCATTTGTTTTTTGGTACTACTTAGTATACCAGTACATAAACATATTGTTTCTGTCTTTTAAAAGTGGTTTGCTGAATAAACTGTTTTTGTACAATTATGCAACCCTTACTATTAGATCGTCTTGACTGTTATTCGGAGAGAACAGAGAAGAGCAGGAATGCATGAGATGTGACGGATGAACTGAAGGAGAGGTGAGGTTTATATAGCTGTATCGTCATGACTGGCAGTCACTGGCACTTAAAAGTGCAGTTCTCTGATTAAAGAAATAACAGTGCACAGCTCCAGTCAGCTCTTTTTCACTAGGTTGTGCTGTGTCACCAAAACACAAACCAGCCTTTCATTAGAGTCCTGCAGCGCTGTGACTGAACCCAGACCAGCCCTCCATCTGTCTGTTTGCGAATATCTGACCAGATGGGGAAACACTTTTCATGCAAAGGACACATGACATGATGGAAAAATAAATCGCAGGCCAGTGACATCATTGGCTGTGTCACATAGGCCTTTTTATAATCAATGTGATCAGTTTGCTTTTGATCTTCACAACTTTAGAAGAGACCTCTTAATTTGAGGCAGGTATAAAGATAGTCTATAATATTCACCATATTAAAATAAATGATTGTAACACTTTAGTTTGAGTACTATTAGTAATACTATTAGTATTAGTACTATTACTTTAGTTTCTCACTATTAAACATTGGCTTATTACCTGTTTATTATTGAGATATTGGCTTTTTTATTAGTACTTATAAAGTAAACATTCTGCATGATCTTATTCTACATCCCTAATCCTACCTAATACCTAAATACTTCCTTAATAATTATTAATCATCAGAAAATTAGGTGTTTATTGAGCCAAAAGTCACAGTTAATTGTTTGTTTATGGTGAGATATGAACCTTAAAATAAAGTGATCATATAAATAATTAAGAATGTGCAAAAAAATCTACTGCACAAAACAACAGAGGTATTATTTGGCCCACTGATGTACATGTGAGATCACTGTGCTCCCTGGAGATCTATTAAAGACCTAAGCCCTGGTTGAGTCCAGTCATCTGAGCCCATCTGAAGAGCCCATAAATGCTCTCTTCCAATAATGACCTCAAGAATGATGGACAGAGGTGGAGTGTTTTTCTCTGGGCCAGAACTAGACACTTAGGGCCAGATTGACTAATAGCTTGCACCAGTGCAAACACTCTTTTTTTATTGAGTACAAAAATGTGCTGTCTGGATTTCCTAAACACACACAGTGAAACATTTGGTTGTACAGGTAGACAGAGTTTTTGTGTGTGTTTCTGTGTTTCACATCTATGTTTGTACACAGTAAAACCCAACATGTTAGGGCAACTCAAACCATTTCAGGAAATGATTGCTACATTTGGGTTAAAAAACTAATCTATATGGGTAATGTGAATGTACTCCATTTAAGTAATAAGGTATTTAATTAACTCATTACCTCTTTTCAAATTAGTAGAATTCACTTTCAGTACATTTTGAGTTAACTACACTCATTTCTTTTAATAAAGTTGACTGTTGGGTTTTACAGTGTAGGAGTTTCCCTTTCAGATGTAAATTTTATATAAAAGTAGTATTTAAATAATCATCCACAAGTATTTACTAAGGTTATATTTACATGACAATGGTGTGACTAAATGTTTTACATCATAAGAAAAGATTTATTTGCATTTAAAAAAGTTGCATATTTTCAAAATGGCCGAAAGTGTAGGCTGTTCTACAAAGTGTTAGGGGTAATACGTTACAATTAACATGCGTTACATAATAATATTACTTTTTCAAAGTAACGAGTAATATAGCTGTGATGTGAAGTGACGCTGACAATGGGGTGTTGATCTAATTGCAGGGTTTATTATGCAGAGAATCAATGGTCAACACAGGGGCAAACAGATGTATACAGGCAAATCCAGATTCATAGTAAAAATAACAGGCGAGTTGTCAAAAGGCAGGCAGCAGACAGGGATAAACAATAAAACAAATAAAACAAAGCAAGGGTAAAAACCGCCAAGGCAAGAAAAAGAAGTTGTAATTTCACATTACAGTAAAACAAGACTCAGCGATGAAGTGTGTGTGCGCTGTATTTAAAGTCCATGTAATCAGTTCGTAATGATCCTCTGGCTGTGTGTGTGCTCATCACCAGAACTAAGAACAGGTGTGTGTGAGTGGAGTGCATGTATGAAGCTGCAGTCCCTAATGTGGTGGATTTGTAGTTCTCTAGTTGTTTCTTATGTTTCTCAGTGATCTGCAGCTGCTGGGTCACTAGTGATCATAGCAATAATGCATTACTTTTTAAAATAAGTAATAATATTTGAGTTGATTTTGAAAAAAAAAAATGTAACGAGAGTATACAAATATACTTTATATGTTGCTTAACAGAAGCAATCCAATCCAGCTATTGTTTTAAAGTGAATTTCTCTGTAAAAATGAACAGCAATAAGCTCATATGGAGCACAGAGACTTTTCAACCATCAGGGGAAATACACAACAATCATTTTAAAAGAAAAGAAAAGTTCAGACAATGTGCTTGTGTGTTTAAAGGACAGACAGAGTAAAATGTTATATTTTCCAATGATCTTTCTAAAAATGTTCATTCATACCCAATACTTTACCACTGCACAACCTACATTTCACAACCTGTTCACTTTTAAACCACCCAAGAGAGACAAAGCTGTGTTATAAAAAAATAAAACAAAAATAAGCTGCAAATATTAGCACAATCTTTGTGAAAAAGTAGCAGAAAGGCAGAAAAAAAATTCTCCTGTCAAAAAAAGCATCCTGCAAACTATATGGAACTCTGCTCTACTACTAAAGCTGAGAATTTATGACAAACAAAAAATGTGCTGTTTATAAGATCAGCATAACTTCATAAGTAAGTCATCAATATTGGCATTGATGATTGAACAATATAACAAGCGGGTTTGGTTTGTTTTTACCTTTCTCATCTGTGACAGCAGTCCCTCAAACTCGTGCAGGTCCAGGGTGGGCCCGTTGTATGTGGCGCTGCTATTGGCTGCTCGGCCCAGCCAGTAGATAGTGATCAGAACCTGAATGAACATAGTCAAAATATCCCTCAGTCACTGTCTTATATACATAGTGAGATATCACAACATTCAATACTGTCTATGTGGAATTCAGACAAGCTCTTTGTTGATGTCTCGGTATAACCCGCTTAGATGTTTTAGCTTGTTACAGTTTTTAGACCCTGCCTGACAAAGAAGACAGCATACCACAAGACTCCTGTTTAGAAGAATGCATGTGACATAAGTATTCACCTTGTTTTTCACAAGTGACCTTAGACCACAAAATCAGCCTTATATTGCACAAAGATATTTATTGTCCATGTCTATAAAATACTAGTACACTATAAGGGTCAAAATGATTGATTTTTCTTTTGCGACAAAAAAATATTTATTTTATTAGTATTAAGTAAAGATCATCTTCTATGAACATTTTTTGCACATTTCCTACTGCAAATATATCAAAACTTCATTTTTGGAGTAGTAAAGTGCTTAATTGAGACCAATTTAAAGGTAATTTTTCCCAATATTAAGATTTTTATACCATCAGATATCTGGTTTTCAAATAGTTGTATCACAGCCAAGTTTTATGCTAACCAACTATACATAAATTGGAAAGCTTATTTATTAAAAAAAAAAAGTTATGTATAAAACAAAACAAAAATAACACTTGTAAATGGTTTTGTGGTTCAGAAACACATGTCGTATCTGTACATGATGTACAGATGTATATCATTTTTTTAATTTAAAGGCTTTTGGTCTAATCCACTTCCAGTAATTTCTAAAATTACAAACCAGCCAAAATTTGAATTTTGATACCGCAAAATGTTTTTGTTTTCTTAAATGTATGGCCTTAATTGTAAACACACTGGTTTACAGCACAGACAACATTCACAGTTATTTAATCTTGTTAATTTCCTACAGCTACTAATCAATCAGGTCTCACACACTTTACTTTCACAATAATATTACACAGGGCACGCATTTGTAACACATAAAGCACATGGATCGTGTGGTTTTGGAACATTTAAATGTTGAAAATAATAGTGATCATTTATTCATTCATTTCATATTAGCTTAGTCCCTAATTTATCAGGGGTCGCCACAGCGAAATGAACCACCAACTACTTTGGCATACGTTTTACACAGCAGATACCCTTCCAGCCACAACCCAGCACCATGGTGGTAAATAATAGTGATAATTACAGAAATTAAGTGTCTATTAAATAATTTCTGCTTCTATTAATTGTATTAGTTTTCTATTAATAACAAAATGTTTAGTAGGCTATCTATATACAAATGCTAAATTTATAGAACTTTATTGAAAATTTAATCAAACATTTAATTAATTATTTTTCATTTAACAGAACAAAACAAATTTCACAATATTCATTCATTCATTTTCCTTTAGTTTAGTCTCTATTTCAGAGGTTGCCACCACAAAATGAACCACCAACTATTCCAGCATGTGCTATATGGATCGAATGCCCTCTCAGCCGCAAACCAGTGTTAAAAAACACCGATACACACTCATTAACACACACTAAGGACAATTGAGTATATTCAATTCACTTATGGTGCATATCTTTGGACTGTGAGAGAAACCGGAGCACCTACAGGAATCCCATGCCAACACAGGGAATTTTACAGTATTTCCTTATAATATTTTTTTATTCTACAGAAAGTCTTGTAATAAAAGCATTTTTAATAAAAAATACAGAATTTTAGGGTCAATATCGTTAGCACCTTCAAGAAACATATACATTTTTATCGATTGGCAACAGAACAATCCACTGTTGTCCAATGACTTGCCTAATTAACCTAATTTGCCTAGTTAACCTAAATAACATAGTTTAGCCTTTAAAATGCACTTTAGACTGAATACTAGCATCTTGCCAAATAACAAAGGCAAAAGACTAAATAAATTAATAGTAAACAGTTATAAGAAATAGTTTAAAATATGTTCTCTCAATTTAACAGCACATACTGTAGGAAATATTTTAAAGTATAAAACTTCACAACAGGACTAATCATTTTGCTTGTAAACATCAGAGGGATTCAATAGATGTTACTTACATTTTTTAACTTCTTGTTGTTGTCTGGACTTCTGAAAGAGAAAAAGAATAAAAAGTGTTTGATGCAAGACAAACAAGATATATAAAAAAAATATCTAAACAAAAAGTAGCTGAGACCGAAATAAATCAGAAGACCGAACAATGTACTCTAACACCAGGTCATGTCTTCAAAACCATGCATTATTATTGGGAACCCAGTGCGGATTGTTTTGACTGGCATGACTTGACTTACAGGCTGTAGAAATGTGTTAAAAATGTAAACACTGAAGATCTGACCAGCCCAAAAATCACATTAGATGACTGTGCATCTCTCAAGTTATTTGATCATCTCTAAACATCGACCATTGCTGGCATTTTTACGTTTCTTTTCATAACATAACGTTTAATATAAATTAATTGATTAAAAATACGAACAGCAGGAGGGTAAGAAAGAAAGAGAGAAAGGGTGTATTCTGCTTTCCTTCATGTCTGTCGAATAACAGGATGGTTTGTTATTCTAAGCGTTCCTCCGGTAAGATGGGATTAGGTCGACACCACATGACAGATTCCAATATGTATTAGATCATTCTTCTGATAGCACCTTCTGTCTTTCTCTCTGCCTTCAACTGTCATAAAGTGTTTATTGTTTCCTTCAACAAGACGAGTAGCTACATACTTCAGTTCTGCGCTCATTTCATAGATGTGTCTGTGATCCAGTGGAAAGAGTGATGGATGAGATATGAGAGAAAGAGAAAGAGGTATTTGGAAAGAGACAGGCCGGTACAGGTGTGTGGCAGACATGCATTCAGACCCATCAAAATTTACAGACAATTAAACAGGTTTTGTTTCTGAAATGCATCCCTTGAGGTTATAGGATATATTGAATGTACTGTAGCGGAGGCTAAATAAATGACGAAATTATCTTCTGTTTGTGCCTTTTATTATACATTCGATTAAAATTGGTAATGTTATGAAATTGGTTATTACATAAATGTTAATCATTAATGATAGATATTATTCAGGAAACTTTTTACCTTGCAAATTAGTATAGGATAGGATAGGAAAGGAAAGGATATAGGATAGGATAGGATAGGATAGGATATGATATGATAGGATAGGATAGGATAGGATAGGATAGGATAGGATAGGATAGGAAAGGAAAGGATATAGGATAGGATAGGATAGGATAGGATATGATAGGATAGGATAGGAAAGGAAAGGAAATGAAAGGATAAAGGATAGGATAGGATAGTATAGGATAGGATAAGATAGGAAAGGAAAGGAAAGGAAAGGAAAGGATATAGGACAGGATAGGATAAGATTGAAAAGGATAGGAAATGAAAGGAAAGGAAAGGATATAGGATAGGATAGGATAGGATAGGATAGGAAAGGATAGGATAGAATAGGATTGGATTGGAAAGGATAGGAAATGAAAGGAAAGGATATAGGATAGGATAGGATAAGATAGGAAAGGATAGGATAGGATAGGATAGGATAGGATAGGATAGGATAGGATAGGATAGGATAGGATAGGATAGGATAGGATAGGATATTTTTCCCCGGGAGGAAATTTGTCCTGGGCAAAAAAGTGTTACAACGTTGCTCTAAGCAGACAATAAAATAAATAAAACAAACAAAACAAATAAGAAGATAGATTGCTTACAAAGTAAGACCATATATAAATATATAAATATGAAATATATAAAGCACAGAGTCTGTACGAGCTTGTATTGTTTTATTCAAATGATTTTCATTGCTGTTTTTTGAATATGAACCAATTAATTTTTTTTTAATTGAACAGACAGATTTCCAAACCAGTACTGTGATTCCATAGCGAATAAGACTTTCAAACATAACTCAGTAAAAAAAAAAAGCAAGATATTGCTACACACCGCATACAATCTCAGCTTTCTTAAAAAATAAAGCCTCTTTGTAGTTGTAAGCACAAACTGTCAAAGTGTGTTCTACATCAACAACAACAAAAAAAACACTGTCCATATAGAACACCAGGTACAGTTGGGGTCAGAATTATTAGCCCCACTGTTTATTTTTCCCCAATTTCTGTTTAAGGAAGAGAACATTTTTTCAACCCATTTCTAAGCATAATAGTTTTAATATCTCATTTCTAATAACTGATTTATTTTATCTTTGCCATAATGTTTTTTGAGAACGATTAGCTGGAACAGTTCCATTGAAATAAACTAATTTGAAGGATATGAAATAAGTACTATATTCTGAATGTAGTTATTAAATGTGTTATTAAGTAGTAATGCACAATATTGCACATTTGCCAATATTCAGACTCTTTTTGCCTGAGATAATGGAGATATCTTTTCTGATAGTTTGTTAGTGTTTATTCAAGTACAGTTTGAAACGATTATTCCCTGTAAGTGTTGTGCCTGTTTCACACCGCAAGAGAAAGCAGAGCATGAGCAGCACGTGCGCAGTGGGTATGGAGAGCAGAAGCAGGCGTTTGTCTTTCACACTAACTGCGTCTGCAGCATAGAGCTCATCGCAAGCTGCTGCACAGATCAATCTATCTCTGTCTATTCTATCTAGTTACCTATCTCTCTCTCTCTATATATATATAAATACACTTTTTTTTCACTTATTATCTGCACCAAGGCCCGCAGCAATATCCTCATTTGCTGTTTCCTTAACCTGCAAGTCTTTATTATACAAATTATATAGATCATACAGTACTGTGTGCTTCTCAAGCTGGAGTGTCATTCATGTCTGGTGCATTCAGAAGACTATGCCTGTGACATCATGTAAATTTGTTTTTGATCATCAGGATGTTGTAGGCCTTTAGTTAAAATAGAAAAATATATAATATAGTTATAATGATATTTATACATGACAAAACTTGTGTGCAACTTACTAAGCAAAACCAATACTAAAATTGTTTTACATTTAGTTTTGTAGTTCAGGCCTAAATAAATATTTGTTGCCGTTTTTAATTCTTTAAGTTCATTTGATTGACCATATATAAATCAATGGACATTACTGATGCATTACTTGAGTAAAATTGCTACTTTTTATTATCATTCAGTGTGTTTTGGTCATTATCAATGCATTGTCATTTTAATTGAGCGTGAGCAGTGAGGCAAAAACAGACCCTATTGCAGCACTGCTGCTTCAGCAACACTCATGCCTTAAGCTGATGTGCTGCTTCTGCTGGCGGCATGTGTCAGATTCTGTCTTACTTGTGTCTTTGTATTCATCATGTGACCTTTCACCATGTGCTCCCTTGTTACAGTTGCCGCCATTTTTTAATGTTGTATTTAATGTTTTATTTATGTCATTCAGTCTTCGTCTGGTTTTCACAGTTGATGTCTATTTTCATCCCATGTCCTTCCTGTCTTAAATGTTTATCAATAAATCTACGTATTTGATAATCCTGCGCCTTCCTGTATTAAACCCAGGCGTTACAGTATAAAAGCTCTAATCTGTTAACATGCATCCCGAAAAATATGCGCTGCTCGCGCTTGCGGTCTGAAACAGGTTTTAGCTTCTCACAACAACTTTAAACCAAACTTGTGATTTTATGACCTTAATCGATGCTCTGTCACCGACTCGGTCCCAGTCACTCTCCCCGCTGGCCAGCAGAGGCCACCATCTCTGGATTTCTAAGCATTACATCATCCACTTACACTGATCCAGCACACCTGAACTGAATCCCGCTAATGACCCACGTACCCTTTATAAGCCGCACTCAAACACTCAGTCTTTGCGAAGTCTTGTTCAGCCCCGGCCAGCATTACTGAGCGTTATATCCTGCCTGATCTCCTGTGTATTACTCCAGCCCGTTTCTGACTCTGCTTTGCCTTCTGCCTGCCCACGACATAAGCCTGTTACACGGACTCTGATACTCGCTGCCTGCCCTCGACCCAAGCCTGATACACGGACTCTGAATCACGCCGCCTGCCTCTGACCCATGCCTGGTAAATCACTCTGTGTCTGTCAGCCGCCAGCCCTAAGACCTTTATTGCTATTGTTGTTGTATGTTCGCACCTTTGTGCGTGTTGATTGTTTGAGTGAAAGTGTGACTAATAAATACTGCATAATGGATCCCTCCGTGTCAGTCTCCCCGTTACATGCTCCTAGTAAGAACTAACATTTTCTTTTATTTCATTTTTATGACTGTAACAGCAGCCCCTGAATGCATTTCTCATGGGGCAAGCACTAGGACCCAGCGGGAAGCTCATTGGAAGCATTATTCAAAAGAAGATTCTTAATTGTCAAATTCAATCCTTTTTTATATCCTGAATAATAAAATAATTAAACAAGATCAAGCATTTTATGACATAACTTCATGTTATGTTATGTTATGTTGTTTATTTTACTTTCATTTTCCTAGACTATGGTTTGCAGCAGTGTATCAGTCGTGTTACTGGTCGGTTAACTAGTTCAGGTTAACTAGTTATTTTTCTTTTATAATTTAATCTAAATACTCAAAAATCTACGCATTAATATCCTATTTATTTCTATCATATTTCTAACTTCATTTAGAACTCCAGGGCAAATGTGTGAATAGTATTGTAGAAATATAAAATAAATATAAACTAATTATAAAACACTTTTTCAAAGAAAAAAAAAATGATTACAAAAATTGCAAAATGTAAACATTGTACTTCTAAGATTGACTCATAATGCTGTCATGTTTCTGTCTGCATTGCTGTAAATGGCGCGTAATAATGCGATCATATCGATTTTTTAAAAAGTAAACAATGTATTTTGTAATACCACGATATAAACGATTATATGAAACAATAGACTTTTTATATTGTCCATACAATATATACAGTATTGTCAAACTGTGGCGATTTGACCCAAGCAAAAGCACATGCAACAAAGAGTGTAGGAGTGAAATTCAATCTCGCTTGTCCACAGAGTCTGACAAAACCAGTCCTGTAAGCAAGACGATCTCTGAGATTTACAGTAGTTTCAGTGTGCAGTCTCAAAAACGCAGTCTCCTCATGCCTGACGACTTATCCCTCACAAGCACACTCCTGAACTCTGAGCACGACATCTGAGAAGACAGACTGTGCGCTGGACAAACACACCTCTGTTTCATATCAGCACGTTGTGGCTATGAGAAAAACAACAACACAAAAGCAAAATGGAAGAAGCCTGTATGCCCTTGAAGGCTGTTAATGAGGTCATGGAGTCTACACAATACTTATCAAAGTGAGGAGGACAAACACAGACTTCCATTGTTTTACATCAAAGTAATTAAACAGTGGTCAACTGATATGGACTTTTGATAGCCGTTGCTGGCATATTTAAGAGCAAGACGGCTCAAGATAGTAAAGTATATATTACATCTATTAAGTTAGAAAAATAATAATAATAAAATTAGAATACTGTAAAATAAACAGATATCCTATATCTGCTGGAACTGTGGGGGAAATTTTGTGGGGAGATTGTCATTTCTGATGTGTTTGGTTACAGAGTTCATAGGACTGCCTTATTTTTGCTTATGAGAGATATTAAAGACATTGTCCCCAGAGGTGACCAATGTTTGTGTAAGATTCTTCTTGTGGTTATTATGTATGTGCATATTGTTATATGTGCATGTACAGTGCTCAGCATAAATGAGTTCACCCCATTATGAAAATGAATATTTTTTTTTTCCATTTCTTAGTGAATATGGGTAATATATATTGGTGCATTTGAACAAAGCAGATTTATTAAACAGATATATTTGTTAAAATAATATTTTAGTCACCGAACATCTTTACAAATTGGATATATAATACATTTAAATTCACGCAAAATATTGCAAAAAAAAATTACAACCTACAACATTTCAACTAAATTGTATATATATATTTTTCTCTTTATATTTTTGGAAATGTTATTTAAGATTTTTCTCTAACAAATAAATATTGTAAAGCATCTTATAGAAAATATTTATTTGAATGAAAGATTTTTGCAGGGATTTTTCTCTGTATTGTAAAAATCAATTAAATAAAAAAAAGTTATAAAAAATGACAACTTCTCAATTCTGTTATCCTAATATAGACTATTTCTCAAAAACAAAAAAATGGTTAAAAACGTGACGAGGAGGATTATGGATATAAGTTGAATTTGTAGTTTTTACACTTTTTAAAATTTAAATGTGTTATTTTTCATATCAAAAGGGATGTTGAGCGACCACACTCTTATCCTGGCCAAATTCTCTCCATCCTCCCTTACCCATCATGGCCTCCCAATCATCCCCATCCACCAAATTGGCTCTATCACTGACTCTCCACTTCACCTACAGCTGGTGTGTGGTGACTGCACTGGTGCTGTTGTCCTGTGACAGCGGTCACATCATCCAAGTGGAAGCTGCGGCTGGAGGGGAGAGACCCCCCTGTTGATGCGCTTTGGGTGCATGGCCATACCCGATATATGCACTTGATAAGTACACATTACATTACTCTTCAATAAATCTGTTTTGTAAAATGCAGCAATATATGCCATCCATATTCACTGAAAAATTAATAAAAATCTAAATTTGCAAAGGCAGTGTATTCTTTCTTGCTTACAACCTGTCAATCAAAACAAGTTGTGAGCAAATGTGTGCTTTGTGTTAATAAAATGTTTCTTGTGTGTAATTACTTTGAACTGGGTGACAGTGTTAACAAAATGGAAGTATGTACATTTCTATTGGCAAGGGACAAGACAAACTCGTCAAAGCTAAAGCATAGTTCAGTCTATGTCAATATGAATTTATAACATTCTAAAAGACTAAAGTGTCATTTAATCTTCAGGATTTAGTTAACGGATAAAGAGTGTTATGTTTATGAGTAAAACACAACTTTTCATATGAAGAGAATAATGTTGAATTTATCATACTGAACAATCATTAACGTTATTAAAATTGACGCCATTTGGGGAAATTTTGTTTCTCACCACTGTCGCCACTGGCTTGCTGGGTATTGGACTTGTGGAGCTGTGCATTGATGCTCTTCAGTGTTTGGAATTTCAGCAGTGAAATTTAAACCACACTGAACTGAACTAAACTGAACTTCAACTCTGAAAACTGGAATGACGCAGTTTCAGTTTACTAGAACTTCTATGTTAAGCTGCTTTGACACAATTTACATTGTAAAAGTGCTATAGAAATAAAGATGGATTGAATTGAATTGTATTAAATTTATATTGGTATAGTTATTGGAAAATATCACTGAATAATTGGCTACAGATAACATAACGCACAGTTCATTTGTATACAGCATGCATTCTTTTGTAATTTTTCAACAATTGCATTTTTTTTATATTTTACGCAAATGTACTTCACTACAACAAAATCACCCCAATCATTCTAAAATATTAATGTCTTTCCAAATTAAACTTCAAAATCAAGTCATCTGCTAAATATTTTTCTATTGAAATATATATTTCGGACAAATATATTGCAATGCAATGTCATTTTTTTCGCAATATTCTGCAGCTTTAATGGAGATCTGAGTAATACCTGCTGCTCTCCATATCATTCTGAAAGATTCTTGACCACTTCAGTATTTATAAAATAAAATCAAAGGGGGACACAGCCTTCTCTGTTGCTGCACTCAGGCTATGGAATTCTTTGCCTTATTCTGTAAGAAATGCTTCCACACCAACTTCCACACCAACTTAAGACAGCATTTTTAGATTCTTGATTATCCTAATGTGTTTATATATATATATATATATATATATATATATATATATATATATATATATATATATATATATATATATATAAATCAACAACACTAATAATAAATTAAATAAACGAATAAAGACATTTTATTTATATTGCGCCTTTCTAAAATATATATATATATCGGGTTTTAGCAAAGCACAATATAAATAAAATGTCTTTATTCGTTTATTTGCTTGTTTGTTTAATTTATTATCAGTGTTGCTGATTTTTAAGACATATAGCTGTAAAACATGAATACCATTTATTTAAAAAAAATTTAAAACATTTATATATTTATTTATTTATTTGTTTGTTTGTTTGTTTGTTTTGTTTGTTTGTTTATTCATTAATTTGCTGGTTTAATTATTCTAAAAAAAAAATTTAAAAATTCTTTTTTTAAGACAGAGCTGTAGATCATGAGAAGCATTTTTAAAATATATATTTATTTTTATTGTACTTTTTAAAAAAAATGTGTTTAAGTCGTAGATCTGTGGAATATTAATAGCATTTCTCATTTGGGTGAATTATTCCTTTGGGTGTCAGATAATGGTTGTGTAAACCCAAATCAAAGTCATCAAAGTGAGCTAATAAAAAACAGAGCACAATAGTGACCCATTAACATAAAACACATAGCATTCAGAATATCTGTTACTAGTAGAACACAATGAAGAGCATCATTTAGTTTAAATTGAGCTCAAACTGACCTCTTTGATTTTTGAGTGACAACTAAACAAAACCTCAAAATTAACATCAGTTATCCCACATACAACCACACAAGCTGATAACATCAGATGTTTTTAAATGCACTAAATCTACACTGTAGCAAGATCAGACTGTATTTTAAAGCCATCCATCCGTTTATAATTAGCCTGTTTTACAACAACAAAGAATGGAACAGATATATTTTATTTAATTGCTAATATATTGAACAACTGAAATTCCTGTTAGTGAATACCTCAGTCTTTGCTGTTCAATTTAGAACTTAAAGCTCCATAGTTTACAGTGAATTAAGAAACACTTTCAAGCTCCACTCTTCAAAGATACTGTATTACAGCCTTCCGAAACTAAGCCAAAGCCTCACTAAAAACAGCGTTTCTGAGTAAACAAGCACATGGGCGTACAAAAACACACACATTCACATGATCAGAGTGTAATAAGAGGTTGATCTTACTTGTTGGTGCGCGTGGAGGTGTCCTGTAGATCTCCAGGATCAAACAACTGCGAGCCCTTCAAACCCAACTCCTCACAACCCTTCAGGAAGAGCACCACATTATCCTAAACACAAACACACAAAGACACATGCACACGTGAGTGGATCCTGCATGAGCGCTGCGCCAACACTAACCACACATACACATACACACACACACACACACACACAGCATTAAAGAACAAGAGGGAGGCAAATCGACGCCAGTGGTTTTGGGCACACACTGCCTGCGTCTCTCTCTCTCTCTCTCTCTCTCTCTCTCTTCTAGTTGAAGGCTCATTCTACCTCAGGTGCAGGAATGTCTCTCTCTCTCTCTTTCTTTCAGGTGATTTGGGCTCTTTTGTTGAAGTCTGCAACCTGAGCTCTGTTATCCGTTCTGTTCTACTCTCTGGTTCCCAGCTCCTGTGAGTCCTGAACCCTCCCTTTACTTTCTCTCTTTTACTCTCACTCTCTCTCTCTCTCTCTTCAGCGGACCTGCAAGGGTGGCACAGCTTCCTGTCCCAAGTGATTGTTGTCCCTCTGTTGTTTTGGAAGGACACAACTTTTTATCTCACGCCCATGTGTGTGTGAGTATGAGAGAAAAGAGAGATTTAGCTTTTTTAATTACAACAGTTATTAAAACCAACTATAACATTATACTATTTTATAATATCTTCCTTAATTATATGTGTAAATAATTTACAACATATTTACAACATTATAATATTTAGATAAAAATAAATAAACTAAATAAATAAAGACAATTCAGTTGCAAAAACATTAATCACTTTTTTAGTAATTAAAATTGAACAATAAATCTTGATTTAACCTTGTTTTTTGAGGAGAGAGTGAGCGATATTTTGGATTTTAACAATTACTTAATTAACAAATATCCATTCGTTCACTTGGATAAGTCCCTGATTTAGCAGAGATCTCCACAATGAAATGAACCATCAACTACTCTGCCACAGGTTTTACGCAGCAGATACCCTTCCAGCTGTAACATAGTTCTGGGAAATTATTACCAAACAATTATTTACCAATTCATTTTCAAAATCAAATCAATTAAATTGCAACTCTTCATTTGGAACAAAGCACAACCCAACATCACAACACCACTCCATCTCAACGACATTAATTGCTTTCATCATTGTATAATATTTAAAATCAACGATAATTATAGACAAAACTAAAAACAATAATAACTGACATTTCTATTCATTAATAATGATGATGGACACAACTATAAAATGAAGATGTTGTCACAGCTGAAGATTCTTCAGTTCTGCTTCTCAAACAGAGCCGTAATGATTTGCTTGAAGCAAATTCTGAGATTTTACTGTAAGTCTTGTTTTGTAAGTTTTGTTCAAATCACCATGTCTGAATTCATTGATATCACTTATTAAAGACAAAAGAGAGATCTGCTAAAACTAATGTTTATGAAATAGATTGATGAATTCATTTATTCTTTTTTTTATTTCTTATTAAACTTAAAAGGAATTTCCTACATGGGGATTACAATGCTACAATATAATTGAAATACTTCTATTCCTGCCGTTGTTGCATCATTAATTAGAAATTATATATATTTAGAAAAAAAAAAAAAAAACGTTTAATAATTAATAGTACGATACTAGCATTTATTTATACTAGCACTTCATTTCTACATCAAAGAGTAAACCATCTACCTGTAGCTTAGGTTGAAAATCACAGTAAGCTCTTAAAGCTTCTCCTTTGTCAACAACATGTGTTTGTTATTATTATTACAAATTTAAAAAGAGGTTAGCATGTTGCATTTACATTCATAAAATGAGTTTGAGTGGAGCAGTATTTATCTGAATTGAGCCACTCTGAGACTCTGAAAACTCAGCAGCTGCTCAAAAGTAAGTGAACACTTTGTTATTTCACTCCAAAAACCATCCTCAGGTTACGTGTTTTGGCTGACCGCAAAGAGTTAATATATTAATTAATGTAACCACGTACACTGATTTTGCACATTTGACTGATTGCTTGCATTTATTTCCTATAATGTATAAACATATTGTATGTTATACTTTTATAATGGCCATTATTGATTATTAACACTGATATTCAGCAAGAGAGGGCTTGATTCATATTTTCAATGAAAATGAAAGGTGGCAGCAATGTTATAGGCTCCGCTTTGAGTTCTAAATATGCATACAATGTAGATGACGGTCATATTAATATGCAGCTACATGACGCCTCAGCATTTTTGGTGTCTGTTAATCTGTTAAGTTAATATCAAAGTGAAAATAGGCATTTCTTTATTATGATTTAATTTTATTGTTAAGAAAGTAAAACAATGTAGCCAGGGTGATGTGAATGAGGCTTTAAAGTACACTGTTTCCTTTGAAGATTTCTCCAACGTGTCCTCAGGAGTTTGTTTTCCATATTAAACTTGCGAAGTCTGAACTTACAACGAGAGGATGCAAGACTGAACTGTGGGTAGGCTACTTAATTTTGAGGAAAAAGCCCCTATCAGCAGCCCTGCCTCTCCAGCGTTTCCAAAATACTCTGTTGTCTGCACTTGAAAACTCTGTCGCAGTGTGGATAGATGGCGTAACCGCGAAACTTATGCGTTTTAAAACAAAACATATTAGTGTAAACGGAGCCTCTGTTTAGGTGGGCATGTGGGGGGAGGGAAAGGGAGTGAGTTTACATAAAAATGGGAATATTCGGTTCGAGTATGTGCTAAGTTTTCACTAAACAATCACAGGCGCGGAGAAGGAAGACATTGACTATGTTTACATGGACATCAGTAATCAACATATTTGCCAAAATAATTTGTCGACTTTAACTGCAGTGTGGCACTTTCACTTTCATTCAGGAACATTTCATGTAAGCACCCTGTGAAAAACAATATATTTAATGTGAGGAACTGCTGGAAGAGTGTAGTTTTATAGAATGTTTGATAACGCACGCCATATGGGAGAAAAAAACCTCTGCATTTCTCTTTAACTTTGATGCAGTAGGTAGGTAGCATCAGAAAGCTTGATTAAGGTGTTTAAATGTTTACATTTGGAGAGCAGCATTTACAGCGGATCTTTCCGTCCATAATATTGTAGTGATATAATAGATTACATTTTATATTAACGTACTGTCATAAGAACGTACATACATAAGGTATGTCTTTAAAAATTGAAAGAGCACTGCTGAGGACACAAACCAATTTTGTCCTCTGAATAAACAAACAAAGACCACTGATCACACACTTACCAAATCTGTAAAGACAGGACAATCAACACCAACTGGAATCGCGTCTTTTTTAAAAGGCGATATTTTTACTTGAATGACATGAAGCTTTGTGCAAATTTTAGGCTTAAAAATAAAGGCAAAAATACAGAAAACACTTACAAACATGCAGCAAAGAGTTAATAAGTCTCAGACACACCCACTCATAAACAAACACAGATCCCTGCACTACTGCTACACTCTACTTATTGCTGTCTTCATGGATCTAAGGATCGCCGTGGTCTTGCAGAGCGAGACATTTAACTATCAGTAGAAAAGCCAAGGAAAGCTTTGCAAACCCATAAACAAATCTAGAGACTAATTCTTCCCTGAAAGTGCTCATTGTAACTGATTCCTAGACAAATACAGCACTGTTTCCAGATGGAAAGATAAAAACATTTTCGCACTGACTTTTTGAAGGTGTGTAGCAGACAAACATTTTGACTTTTGCATTCGGAAAGGGATTTTTTTTTTATTTTTTTGAGATTTTACCCACTGTTAAAAATGTCTTCCTGTTACTCACTGACTTGTTATTGAATTTGAATCAATCAATCAATCAATCAATCAATCAATCAATCAATCAATCAATAATAAAAGATTGACCCCTTATTTGTTGTTATCTAGCTATGGCAGTGTCATTAATAACACAATTCAATAATTATGGAGATAATTAAAGCCAGAGTTCAAACGAACATTCACAAACAAAAGATTTGGAGTCATAACTTTAGCTCTCAACTAGTTAACTGTAAGTATGAAATGTTACGATGAGACATATCTGGAGTTGTTAAATGCTGAATTACCACAATCTGTTAGAACTTTCAAAGGACTTTGCTTGGTTTTGGGTGTATGGCATACAAAGAAGTATTATGGTGAAGAATACAACGAGTCAGAAAGTAAACCATTTAAATTTTATATGCAATTAACAGTATTTTAATGTATAACATATTTTATAATCTATAAAGATGCATTATCAACTTTTAAAAACAGTTTGTGTGTGTGTGTGTGTGTGTGTGTGTGTGTGTGTGTGTGTGTGTGTGTGTGTGTGTGTGTGTGTGTGTGTGTGTGTGTGTGTAAGGTGCTATTCAAACCAAACACATTTTTCCTTCTCACTTTACAAATGTTTTTTAATTTGTTTAGTCAGTCAGTCAGTCAGTTAGTTAGTTAGTTAGTCAGTCAGTCAATCAGTCAGTCAGTCAGTCAGTTAGTTAGTTAGTTAGCTAGTCAGTCAGTCAATCAGTCAGTCAGTCAGTTAGTTAGTTAGTTAGTTAGTTAGTTAGTCAGTCAGTCAGTCAGTCAGTTGCTTGCTTCTCTTTCTTTTTTTAATTACAATTTCTTACTTTATTTAACAGATATTCTCACAGAATACAAACCTAATAGATCACTTAGATCTTTAAGATCATATAAACTAGAAATTCCAAGAGTTCAGTCAAAGCAGGGTAAGTCAGCCTTCAGCTACTATGCCCCTCGCTGCTGGAATCAGCTTCCAGAAATGATCAGATTTGCTCCAACATTAGGTACATTCAAATCAAGACTGAAAACACACCTGTTTAGCTGTGCCTTTACTGAATGAGCACTGTGCTACGTCCGACAGATCACACTATTGTGTCTTTATTTTCTTTTTCTTTCTTTTATAACCTGTTTTAACACATTTTAAGCAGTTTTTATCTATTTTAATCATTTTTATTGTTTGTTTTTTATTTTTTATACTTGTTTTTTTTTTTTTGTTCTTGTTTATGTAAAGCAGGTTGAATTGCCACTGTTTACGAAATGTGCTATAGAAATAAACTTGCCTTACCTTAATTCTTTTTGTCCTGTGTTTTCTGTTCTACTGACC